GTGACAGTTTCAACCTCGGATTAGGAATTTATTGATAATAATGGCGAGACCAAGGGATTTAGCGCACATGTATGCCTAATTTTCTTGAAGGAAATTATATACTAGTAGTTTCTTCTTTATGATATTCAGAATTGAAAGTAATGGAATGTGGCGTTGATTAATAGACCCCCAAAAGAAATTCATATTTTAAATTGTTTTATCAGATTATTACTACTTGATTTGATTCATATGAAATACTGAAGATGTGCCTTACGCTTTGGGTGACTTTGAAGAGCTTAAACATATTACATGTTCTTTGGGGGGGAGGGGTTAGGTGGAGGGTTGGGAAAGGTTTAAATTTTAATGTTAGGTTATATGGCATTTTTCATTTCTCAGCTCACGTGGACCACTATTTCAAAATGACCCCCCCCCCCCCTTTGAAAATGCTGATTGCAGGCTGAAATATCTTTTCTATGTACATGTGGTATAAAAACAAAGGTTTCACAAACTTCACATTGTTCTTTTAGATCGCAAATAATTTAATTTGTAATGTAAAGAAAAATGTATATCATTCTTCTGATAAGTAAAGTTGAGAATGGATAAATTGAAAAAAAAGGGAAAAAAATGGTTGGTATTTCCTGCTTAGTCATTAAACTAAAGTCATTATCAAGAGTCATAAATGTTTGCTCTTGCAGACTAATAGATCGTGAATTGAGTAGTTGAAATCGGGTATTACGTGACTTGAGTAGGGCTGTTCTGCTGTCTACTTGTATGAATTTAAACTTACCTAGCTGATAGGTGGCAGCCTCTAATCCATTTGATCTCTTCATTATGAAAACAATTTGGGGGGAAACATGTATGATTAACTGCCATTTGAATGAATTAGGAGAGTATTTGACAGGGAGGATAAAGGAATGATACAACAGAAGTAAAGAAAGAGAGAGAGAGAGAGCGAGAGAAGTGAGTGGGGAGATAGGCAAAAATTTAACATGGTCCTGTAAAGTCATATGTACATACTAATATATGTACTTGTACAGTATTTAAACCATGTAAATTAAGGTCATGCAATTTTTTTTACATTTGAAAGCCTCTCACTAAACTAATGCATTATTCTTCATTAATGTAACATACTAATATTCTTCTCTCCTGCTCCCCCCACCTCCTCCCCCCCCCCCCCCCATCCAATGGCCTCCCCACTCATTCTAGAGTGTGAAAAGGAACAGATCCATTACAAGAGATAACAACCTGGCCATTCAGCCATCATATTATACCTTATCATGCACATGTTTGCACAAAGATCGCTGAAAGATGACAGACTGATAGCCCCACACAAGTGAGGTCCTCCTTTGGTTGGATTATGTTGACTTTCTCCTTGAAGAAGAAAGGCAAAGTCTACATTGTACTCAGATTAGAAAGGCCTGTGTCGGCCACCTTTCTGATGGCTATTATTCAGGAGAGACCTGTCTTACTCTGATAGTATACAGGTATGTTATCGCGGGCAGGTGTTCCAGCGACAAAAGGAACAAAACTATATGTGTATATAGTGGATAAATCTGTGGAAATTAATTCGCCACTTGTTATCTGTTATTTGCAAAATTCAGTGTCAACTTTGGAAGGGCTCTGAAAGTAGGACACTGACTATAAAAGCATTTTTTTGTGTGTAGTACATCAAAGCGGTGACATGTTTTATCTTGGATTGACACAGTTATAGGTGTCGGTTGTATGAGGGTGTCTACAGAGGGTGCAATGTGGTGAGAGAGAGAGAGAGAGAGAGAGAGAGAGAGAGAGGCTTATTTTCACGTTACACGTCATATTAGCTCCCATGGTGTTGCCATTTACCGATGATTAAAAATTTGCATTGTGAAGCATCTGAAAAGAGAACCTCCTAAGTGAATGTTATCTATAGCTGACACACATTCAAGCATACCCCCCCACTGACTGAGCCCCGATTATATGTCCCATATTAATTTAGTGCACTTGACAAACATTAAGTAAGTTGAAACTGAAAAGAGTGACAGACAGCATGCTCCTTTAAGGTAAGGTGATTTTTTAAAAAAAAAATGACTTTCACTGTATGCTGCTTTGAATTATTATGTTTAAGGGAGCTCTTGGTGCTAGCATACTTGATAGCATATCATAATTAAGTTAATGGTACATACGCAACTTACCACCATGGAGAACAAAAGTGTTATTTTTTATTTGTCTGCTGTTTGAATAGTTATAAGCTCAAGAGAGGCAGTGCCCTTATTTTATATATTGTATATTTACATGGGTTGATGGGACCATGATATAATGTCACTACATGGGATTGTGTCACCTCAGGCCCGTGGCCAGCAATTTAAAAAGGAGGGTTCATTTTCTGGAAGTGGACCTTTTTCCATAAAAACTTCATGAACCTAGATCAAATTTTACCCAGAGTGGACCTTTTCACACCAAAAGGGGCGGTTCTTTCGAACCCCCCGAACCCCCTGGCTACGGGCCTGCACCTCTACCTGTATATAATATTTCACAGGTTTACATCTTCATGGAAGCATGCTAATTTTTATTAGGTCTGTATCAGGTCCTCGTTCTGTATTTACAAATCCCTGGGAGACTGGTCCATATTTTAGGTAAATCTGCACAGGGTAATATATGCTTTATCTCATTTGCAAGCAATTTCTTAGATGTAAATCTACTATTTGTAATTTTGGAATTATTATATTTTCATTGTATGTATGGGTGTGTGAAAAGGTACCTCGGTCTATGATTGTACACGGTCTGGTACACAAATTTGTATGACATAAAATGTTTTTAAAGGGATGGTGCATGTTTCAAAACCCTAAATACTGGTTAAAAAAAAACAACAACAAAAAATAAAAAAAAACATAATTCAAACTGGCAGCAAGAAACTTTCTTAAATCTCACACATGATTAAACATACGATGATTGGTGAACAGTTTTTTTGGCCAGTGGTGGGGAGCATGAGAGCTTGAAACTAAAAATCAGTTGGTTTTTCTGTCTTATAACATGAGAAGTCATTGACACTGATGTAGATTCAAAGATTCTTAGAATGGTTGAAACGTGTCACATGTTTCTAAATGTTGAAAAGTAAAAGAGCTCTGCTGATTAAATTTTAATTAAATTGATAAGCAGAGCTTTACTAAATGCCAAATGTTGGTAGCAACGCTGTGGCAGTACCTAATAGATAATTAATAAACCATTACTTGAAAAAAATTAATAATACTATAAGATAGTAATATTTAATGATTGGTAATACTTAAAGATAGATAATACTAACTAATTGTGAATAATGATATTTGCTTTAAAATTGATTAAACTTAATTAATAGAAATAAACCTACTTAACACCAAATATTGGCAGCTATGTTGTGGCAGATAACAGACAGCTTATAGAGTGCTACTTATGCAGTTGATTGACTATTGACATGTTTGTTTGGTGATCGAGGCAGGTGACAAAAGTATCCTTGACTTTGCCCTATATTCAGGCACCAGGGGCACTGAAATAATTTCTAACAGGTGACATCTAGGGCCGCATTCACAACCAAAGTTGATCCCCAGGCTAACAGATCCGTGGATTTAATATGGTCGACCCAGCTGAAAGTTTGCCATGTATATTCCCTGTAGGGAATCTATTCTATGGGGATTCTGTGGCAAGCTTTCAAGTAGGTCAGCCATATTTAATCTATGTTTCTGTTAGGCCCCATTCAGAATAGGGGAGTAACTAGTCCGAGGGTCAAATATGGCCGACCCACTTGAATACTTCGATCCCCATGGGATATCTGTTTAAGTGTCCATCAGTGGATTTGATGGCAAGCTTTGTAGTGGGTCGCCACATTTAACCCCTGGACTAGTTAGTCCCATATTCTGAATGGGGCCTTAATCTGCTGATCAACTGGTTGTGAATACAGCCTTGCAGTCAGTTATGTAAGCAAGAACGTTTCATGAAGGGTAGAAATGTTGTGCCTCACAGATTAAAAAATTAATTTAAAAAAAAAAAAACAGTTTCTTTTTTTTTTTTTTGCTTTCTTCTTGAAATACTGAATTTTGTCTGTATTATGCAGTCAAAAAAAAAATGAAGACTAAATCTAAAGGCCTCACAGATTAAAAAATAAATTTAAAAAAAAATTCTTTTTTTGCTTTCTTCTTAAAATACTAACTTTTGTCCATATAAATCCAGTCCAAAAATAAAACTGAAGACTATGTAAATCTAATGAAACAAATCAGACCACAGGTGCCATGTGTCAGTCACTGTAATTACAAGCCACTTGAGTTTTAGTATTTGTGTGGTTTAAGTATTACGATTTTTAAGATATTAAGTCTAAGGATTAAATGCCAATAAAGCAAACATGCAGGCAAGAGAGAGAAGAAGAAGAAACATTACAATTTTGTTTAGGCAGGTATTACTAACACTTTATCAAATAAGTGATAGATTCATCAAATAATGATTGATTGAATGGATATCCTTGGTCTTTTTAAACTAAATAATTATTTGAAGTTAATGTTCCTGAATTGGAGAGTTTTTTCAGGGAGCTTCTGGCTATAGCCCATAGCCTTCAATTCTCTCACATATATATGATGTTGATGACATAATTTTATGATGGGAACTGGAGAATTCAAGCAGTTGAGCATGTGGTAGAGCATATTAAACCGTGTGATATTTAACAACTTTAAATACACTATATCTTTCAGGAACAACTACCCTGAGGAGGAGATCTGATGCCTGTCTGCCTGTTTCTATTTTTCATTTTCAACTCTCCATCCCCACATGTTCACACTTATCATCAGGCGAATGGGAATTAATAACTAAAAGTGAAAAAAGCTGGCATGTGTCGGATCTAAAAGTCAGGCAAGTAACAACAAAAGTGAACAAAGAATACCGTAATCCTTTTTTAACATTATTAAGGGTGAAAAGTTGAGAAGATGCTTTTTAGTAAGTAATAGATTTATCAGATGTTTTGATTTAGTTGATTTAGTCAGTAAAAGGCTATTACTGTTTAACTCTCTTTTGTACTTAAATCAGGTACGTGTATGAAGAAGGAATGACAATTTTTTGAAAAACAAAATAGAATAATGAGGATTAGACTAACAGATTGAACTGAAGATCAACACAAGATAATCATTTGGTACAGGTGGATAAAGAACAAGAGGCCTTGTTGCTATGGAAACTACAAATGTTGGGGTAACCATGGAAACGGCTCCAGACTGCAGTGCCAACTGTGAGGCAATCGGATTAGCAGGTAGGTGCAAGTTGGTTTGATCAATTGATTTTGGATAAATTAAGTGACAGGAATTGAATAACCAGCATAAACTTAAAAACATCTCTGCTTGATCAAATGCAGAATACACCCCCTTCGCCATTCACCCTCTTCATTAAAAATGTGGTTTTTGGTTTTCAAAAACTGCTTGAAAATATTAGAATTTTGAAGGTTAACTTTTTTCTTTAAAGTGAATTTCTTATACATGTTGACATCATCAAATTTTTATCATGACAATGATATGATATTCTGTGCTTTGATTGATAGCACTGACATTTTATTTTTAAATTGTCCTTAGTAAGCTGATACTTAGTGTCTACGTGCAATTGTTATATATACCTTCTTTCACGTAATCCAATTAGATTTGTTATATCCCGTGACATTTTGGTTTCTAAAAATTCCTGTTCATAGACCTACAAATAGCTCATGTAATCTTAAAATGGTTTTTGTTAAGTGTAATTTTACAAGTGTATGCGTTGGTCGTAAATAACTGGGGCACTCCGTCTGGTTCCAAACAGGCGTGACGTAATATTGCACTATTTTATTTTTTATTGCCTGCAGTTTTATTGGTTGTTTTGCGATAACGTGATATATGACATTTAAACAGTCCTTACTTGTGTAGGCGTATATAAATTATGTTGATAATTTTTAAATAAGTTTTGCAAATAATTATACAATAATGTATTCAAAATGTGTGGAAAATGGAACCTTTTAAAAAATAGATAATGGGAAACTCAATTTTTATCAGTTAGATATTGAAAAGGTAGCAACTTTGGTGAAATCTTACAATGTGAATTTTATTATTTGTATGACCTGACAGTGTCAGAAGTAGTGCCTATTGCATTGGCTGTGTTGAAGCCCTTTGCACAACTAACACATTCAGGCCCTTACAAACATTATAGTGAATTATGATATTCTGTCATGTTATAGCATGTAAGGTCTCCTCTGTTTCTCCCCAAAATTCTGTAGTTCATGCAAGAGGTGATTTTTTCAATGGGATCCTTATTAATATTTGAATGTATAAAATGGTGTGATGGTGCTTCATTATCAAGATAAAAAAGACATGCAATATTACTATCACGGTCTATGTTATTTTCAGTAAGACTTTCTTCTGAGAAGAATATTTATAAGAATAGTTGATGTGATTCTTTTTTGTCAGAATGAGAGATGGGATATGACAGTGCATATTTTGGACAGGGAAAATTGATAATTTGTAAAAAAAAAAGTGTGCAAATGTTTGTTTATTTTTTTGTTTAAGTATATGGTTTTGATTATCTAAATTATGCATTGGTCACTTTCTTGTCCTAACTACATTCCTAGTGTCTGTCTGTTGTGTGTCTGTCTGCCTGTCTAGCCGTCTGTGTGTCTGTCTGCCTGTATGTGTGTCTTTCTCTTTCTCTGCTCTGCTCTGAATTTAGGAGTTTTACTGTTAACCATAGCCCTCAAAGACTGTGCCTCTGCCGCAAGTTACTTGTGCTGTATGCAATAGGTGGATTTCCAGTAAACTCTGAAACTCAGGGTCCCTTATTCGTTCACCCATGTGTCTTTCAACCCATCTATCCATCCAGTCTGGCCTCCTATTCAGTTGTTAATCATATCAGGCACATAATCCTTGGCATGTGTGGAGATAAAATGTAACATACTCATGAGCTGCATTGAAATTCATAATAGAACCCTCCAAACATCGGGGACAGACAACATAAACAGTGTAAAAATTGACCTTAAACATGTAGACGGGTTAATGCTTTTCTTAATGTCACCTGAGCCAAATCATTTGTCACAGTATGTGTGTGATGCCTGGGACAAGACACTATGTACACAGCAGCTGGCGCCCTCTATAGGGGGCCTGTGAAGTGACTACTGGAGTAGCTGCACTCTGGATGGGTTGTATGTCAGAAGGTCGTGGGGTGTGCATTTGAAAGGTCAAGGGACTGACTTTTTTATCAGCTGCATGTAAGATAGGGAGAGGAGGCGTGCTGGGGCTGTGGATTTTTTTTACCTCACGGAAGTTGCAGCTGACTTCAGGAGAACTTTTTTGGTGCCAGTTTTTTTGAGGATCCGCAAAGGAGAAGGTATGTGTGGTTATCATTATGTCTTTTAAATTCAACTTTTTGTATAATTTTTATTATACACCTGTGAGGGAGATCTAATTTGAATTGAACCAGTCAGAATCAGCAAAGGAGGTATATACAGTGTATATATGTATCAGCTAGCCAGGTTGTAGGCTGTGCATCGTCATCACTCACAACATAGCTAAGCGTACAACACCTCATTGTTGCTGAGGTTCGTCAGGTGAATGGAATCAGGAAGGTCTCGGGGTGATGTCTGTGCTCAAGTGGCTGTAGGAAGTTACTGCAGTTTAAAGGGAAACTGTTTCAGGTGTAGTGAGGTATGTGATTCAAATGGTTTCATTTTGTGTAAACACTCAACCTAAGTTTGCAGTCAGACCTGAGCTGGATGTGGTTAAATGTGACTTGCAGCATTTTTATATGAAGGTATATGGTGTTGTGCAGAAAAAATTCAGTAGCATGTGTATAGATGAATGTGACTTGCAACTTTCATATTTACAAGTCTTTCTAATTTTCGACTAGATTCTATGAGCTTTTTTTTTGTTACATTTCTTACATTAAATATGAAAAGTATCACTTTGCACTTTTCGCTTATGCCAGCTAGCATGCAAGTTTACACATATGCCTCCTGGTATGTATGCACTTATACACACACACACACACACACACACACACACACACACTGGTACAAGCATGCGCACAAACATGCCTGCTTCAGAATAGGGACAGAATTCAGGAACCTAGTGTACTGTGCACTCTGTGATGTGAAACAATAATGAATATGCTGAATGTTTCATCTACTTCTGCCTTCAAAATCAGTTCAGATAGAGGAAAAGAGAGTTTTTCACAATACCTTTATGTATTATGTATACCTGGCAGATTAGTAATTGGCTTAAAAGTGTGGGAAAGGTAAAGGGTTAGCAGACTGTTAAAAACATGCCACCGTGCTAAATATGTGAATATCTCCTGTTTGGAATAAAATAGCTGGTAATAGTGCAAGCTTCAGCTCACATTTAGGGTACAATAATTGTTCAGTCAGTTTGAACAATAGTAAGTAATGTTTTTTCAAAAAAAAATCTGTAAAAAGGCATTTGTTATTAATATCTTAAAAACATTTAACATTGAAGACATTTGTGGTCAAGACTAAAACTAATATTTAAGAGTAAACTAATGCATGGTAAATAGAGAAAAGACATATATTATTAGAATATTTATGGTGTTCAGAATTTACGAATAATTGCCATATTTTAAATATGGTCTACTGGTACCATTAGGATCCGACACAATAATTGAAAAATTGTCACCGTTGCCATAAACACTCTTTGAACAGCTAACCACAGAGACAAATATTGAATGGGCTCTGGTTTTTATTTAGCTAAAAGCAGGCTTTTTCATGCCCACATCTGGTAAAAGTGTTGTGGGAATGGATTGAGGATTTGAGGGTCATTATGGTAAATGCTGATTAAATTGGAACGTAGAAATAAATGTCCACAGTACAGTGTTTTGAATTATTAGTAATAATAAAATATATTAATTTGAATATTTTGACAATTTTGTAGACTTCGTGTCAAAAAGTATACTTTTACAGTTAACTTAAAATCTTACCTCTTTGAAGAAATAAGATATTAGGATAAGTGAGGTGTATGAGAATCTTAAGTAGTTACCATATTTTCCCCAGTTTGTATTAGTATGCTTTAAATGAAAGTGCATTTCCAATGAAGAAAAATAGTTTCTATGAAAAATAGTGACTTATCATGATATATGAGAAGGTCCCCCTTCCCCCCTTCCTCATACTTTCCCCCCTTCCCCCCCTCCTGGCCCCCCTCCCTTCCTCCCATCCCTTACCTCGTCCTTTCTTCTGTCTGTCCCTTCTCTTCCAAAAACTGTTGCCAAATATGAGTTTACAGAACAGAGGATGAGTCATTTACCATCATCAGTGAAGGAAAAAACAAAGTTGCAAATTATTTTCAATTGATTACGTCTGCACACTTAGAGGGAACCACTTGGGATCGCTATGGTTTGATGGTAATGGAGCAGTTATTCAATTATCAGATATCAGCAGACGCATCTGGGGTTGTACTAGTCTAGTTATAAGTATCTAGACAGAAAAGTGATCCAAATTTTCATTTTTTTTGTGTGTGTAATTTGTAATTTTCTTTTCATGTAAAAGCTGCTATGGTGCTGGTTCTGTGCTTTGTGCATTCATTCTTGTTGTGCATGTTTTTTTTTCTTCTTGTTTTTCCAGTTTTAGATGAGCTGTTTTCTTTTCTTTTTTTTTTTTTTTTTTTTTGTAAGGCATCTGAGTAATAATGTAATATGGTTTCACAAACTGCTATGTTTTCATCCCAGTAATGATACCCAGTATATATATATATATTTGTTGAACTTCTTTTTAATCAACATCAATATGTTGCTTTTGAATATAAAAAAGTGCAAACAATTACCATGTGTACCTCCTTTATTTTGTCAGAATATCTTTCTCTTCTTCCTACATTTTTTCTGTATCTCATTAATTGCCATTATTGCTTTTTATAACAACATTTTCCATGCACATGATCATAAGGAAAAGATACACATAAGTGCATTCATTTTGGCTCTCAGGGAGGTGGGATTTCACAGGTGAAAAACAACCTGCCCTTTCTCACATGGATAACTGCACGCGATGCACGCACCCCACGGGGAGTAAAGAAACACTATATGCAAGGAAGCCTGGTATGAGTTCCACATGGTTGAGCTTTTTTATTATGCAAAAAAAAAAGAAACAAAAAAATTAGGTATTTCACAAAAATTTCCCAGTACCAGCATAAGATTGACAACAAAAGCACACGATAGAGGTCACAACAAGACGATAACATTTGTAATGTTTTTTTTTTTCTTTTCTTTTTTTTTTTTTACTTTGGCTGGTTTTTGTTG